CTTTTATGTACCTAATCATAAGAAATTTCAGTTTAGTGAGGTGAAGAGGAAGGGTAGTTCCAGAGGTTTCAACTATGAAGGGGGAAAACTGACACCTAACTTGGCAAACAACTACTGCTTGAAGACACATTTAACATTGCTTAATATAATTTGGTTTATAATTTGATATTTGTCTACAATAACCGGTTACACTTTGCCCTTCTATAATAAACGTACTGTACACCACACGATGATGTACTTTTCGACTGCGCTGATTCGCGGCGAGGTTCCTTTCCTCTAGTGTGGAGAGTCCGAAGGACTGTTACTGATATTTGCTGTCACTATGGTAACCAAAGTAAACAACGTATCCAGTGGTACATACATTTATTTCAAAGTGTCAACGCTATGTCATTTCTAGTACAGCAACTCAATAGTGTGTGTTTTATTAGGTGAGCGGCATCTAGCGTGTAATGGCGGAACAACAATACTGTTTATTTTCTACGGATACATAATATTATACTCAACATACCGCCCACCTAGAACAACATTGTTCTACACCATGTACAAGTTTCAAAATACAAAATAAACTAATGCTAATTAACAAATCGATAAAACTTACATTAAAACATTATTTAGTTACTGGTAATATACAAATTTTGTTTGTCGGTCGCTTAACAACATTATTTTTTGTCCTTATGGAGACTACGCGAGTAATTTTGTCCGGACCCGGATGTTTCGCGACTACTCTGCCATACATCCACCGACAAGGTGGTAGATGGTCTTCCTTAACTATGACAACATCGCCTAAATTAGGTTCCGTCGTTTGGGAGAAACGTTTATCGCTTTGGAAAAAACGTCGTAAATATTCAGACGACCTCCTTCGCCAAAAGTCCTGAACCATTTTTTGCGTATATTGCCATCTACGCAATGAACTAATATTTGAGGATTCAAAATTCATATCCGGAGCTACTAGCGGAGGTTCACCTATTAAAAAGTGGCCCGGTGTTAATATGTTCCTGTGTTCGTTATCGTCACACAATCTAGACAATGGCCTGGAGTTTAGACATGCCTCGATTTGCGCCAAGACTGTCGCCATCTCCTCAAAGGTCAGCGTCGAATTTCCAATAACACGTCTTAAGTGATACTTCACCGATTTCACACCGGCTTTCCATAACCCTCCGAAGGTCGGGGCATGAGATGGATTGAAATGCCACGTGGTGCCGTTGTTAGCCAATGATTCGGATACTTCTGCCACTATATTGCATTTTTCTGTACGAAACAAATGGGCAAGTTCCTTAGATGCGCCCACGAAATTCGTCCAGTTATCGCTCCATATCTCTTGACAATGACCCTTTTTTTTGCGGATGGAAAATCATCTAATGACCCCTTTCGCTCTGGGTGGAGCGTAAGGGAGTGTCAGACTTTTACTGACTAAAAACCATCCGTTTTCCTTCAGTGCCCTTACGTTCCGGAGCCGCGGTATCTCTTTCGAATAGCCCGCAGCCCCGGCAGGCGTTGGCCCTTACGGGCCCCTTCACGCTGCTGACAGCTCTTTGAGGCGCGCGTGGAACAAAACGCGCCGTCGACACGGCCTGTCGTCGTTAGACGGACGGACGGCGAGCTACCCATTGCTCGCCGTCCACAGGCCCGCGCCTACGGTGACCGGGGGGCCACGACGTAGCCCCCGACGCCCGGGGCGTCTCCCGCGGCGGCCGAGGAGGAAAGCTGCTACTCTCTCCTTCTCCCGCTCCGCCACCTCCTTCGCTAGCATCACTGCTTCGCAGAAGGTGGTGACGGCAACCCATTCCGTCTCGCTCCGGATCATGGCTTCGACCAGGGCCGGACGCGAGAGGTCGCCGCCGCCTATCGCCGCTACGAGGACACGGCGGTACTCCGCCCAAGCAGGGCACCCCTCCACGGTGTGTTCCACCGTGTCCTCCGGTCCATCCTCGCAGTGGGAGCACCCGGGCGTTTCCTCCCGCCCGATTCGGTGCAGGAACCTCCCGAACACACCGTGTCCGGTGAGGACCTGCGTCAGGCGGAAGGTGAGGATGCCGTAGCGTCTCTCAAGCCACTCCTCGAAGAGGGGTCTTATCGCCGCTATAGTGGCGTGCCCAGCACGGGGTTGCGACAGTCGCTCTCTCCATGTCGCCATGAGATCGTGCCGGAAGTCTATCCGCTGCGCGACAACTTGCCGCGGCAGCGGAGTTTCCCCTCGGCATAGTGCCTCCGCGCGCCATTCGTGCAGGCGTGCGAGGACTACCACCTTCAGATCCCATGGCCTTTGCGAGCTACAAATCGTTTGAAGGCCTGTAAGAAATCTTCACTGGTAAGGTCGGATACTACTTCCAGGTGTATTGCTCTAGTTGCAATGCACACGAACAGGCATATATACCCTTTATAAGAGCGGTGTCCCCTTCCTTTGGAGACCCTTAGCTGAATAGGTCCAGCATAGTCTACTCCGCTGCACTTAAATGGTCGTGTTGGAGTAACACGAACAGCAGGTAATTGGCCCATTAATTGATTTTTTTGTAACTGCCTTGGATTTAACGCAGGTTTTACATCTATGGACACAAGCCTTAACTAGTTGTTTTACGCCAAATATCCAGTAGGTAACATTCAGAACGGTAAGCATTAGTTGTGGACCACCATGCAGAGTTTTCACGTGAGTGTCTGAGACAATTAGCTTCGTGAGATTACAATCCTTGGGCAATATGATCGGATGTTTCTGGTTATTTGATAGCTGAGATTCGCCTAACCGACCGCCCACCCTGAGGATATGTCGATTATCCAAGTACGGCGTGAGTACCCATAGCTTACTTCTTTTGTTTACGCTGCCTTCTCTTTGTAGCTTCTCTATCTCTTCCTGAAAGTGTTCCCTTTGACACTGTTTTATAACATATACTAACGCTAATGATTTCTTATATTTACGCGAACATTGCACATGATTAAAACTACTTTTACGGATTTTATCGCGTTAATTTTTACTTTTTACTACAAGCCGCCGAAGAAGATTAGTCAGTTCCTACAATCCGTCAAGTGTCATATTCCTCTACAAGATGCAGGATTGTACAAGCTTGATTGTGAATGTGGTCTCTCTTATATAGGACAAACCAAAAGATCAATTAGGACCCGCGTAAAAGAACATATAGCTGATGTGAAGCATCAACGTTCCGGGAAGTCTGCAGTTTGTGATCATATCCTAGACGGCCCCAACCATTACATCAGATTTGATAGACCACAAATCCTCGCGAAAGAACACCGATTCCTACCAAGGATGATACGTGAGGCTATTGAAATCAAAAAACATCCTAATTTCAATAGAGAAGGAGGCTGGGTACTACCACCTGCTTGGGATCCTATAATCAATAAAATTAAAACTAAACCCAAGCATACCACTGCAAGACCTCAGGACATAGTCAGTTCATTTTGCATAGATCGGACCATAAACAATAATTAAAAAAGCTGAAGGTACTCCGGGTTTAACAATGACATCGGGACGTCAGTCATCTCAGTCCCCCGTGACCATGGGTGCTGCAAAGCGCCCGAAACGTCGGGAATTAAAAATAAAAAGTAAAAATAAACGCGATAAAATCCGTAAAAGTAGTTTTAATCATGTACTAACGCTTCTTTCAATTCATCCCCAGTTAGGTAGTTCATGAATTTTCGCCTTGAAGAGTGTCTTAACCCTAGGAACCGCCTACAGCGTGCTACTACTCGTAGAAGTCTGGTGAAAGATGAATAGTTGTCCCACAGCTGCTCTTGGAGTGATGCACAATGAACGCGCACTTCTAATTCTGTACGAATATTTGGTTTTTCGTATAGAACCTCTTTATCGCGAAGGAATTCGGGGCCATTAACCCATAGATTGCTCTTTAACAAGTTTAAAGGACTCATTCCTCGGGAAGCAATATCTGCAGGATTTTGATCAGATCGCACGTGACACCATTGGCTTGAATCAATCACTGATAAGATTTCAGAAACTCGGTTTGCTACGAAAACCTTCCAGCGACTCGGGTGATCACTTAGCCACGCAAGAACAACGGTAGAGTCAGTCCAATTATGCCAGTTTGATTTGTCAACGTTCAGTGCTTGTCCGATTACCGCCATTAATTTGGTTAAAAGTAGAGCTCCGCACAACTCCAATCTAGGAATAGATACTTGCTTGACAGGTGCTACCTTAGTTTTTGCTGCAAGAAGTGAAACCTTAACGTTGCCTGTGGAATCGATCACACGAAGATACACTACAGCTCCGTAGGCAGCTTGAGAGGCATCACAAAATCCATGAAGTTGAAGTTGGGCATCGCTTGACTTCGAACGCAACCATCTAGGAAGATTAAAATCAGATAAGTGTTCAAGATTATTCCTGTAGTTATTCCATTCCAATTTTAATTGTTCTGACACTTCTTGGTCCCAGTCTATTCCTGTAAGCCACAGCTTTTGTATTATTATCTTCGCTAAGACTACACTAGGTGCTACCCAACCTAGCGGATCATATAGACGACAGATATCCGAAATAATGTTCCTTTTTGTTACAGGTTCCACAAGTTCCGGTAAATCAACGACGTACTGAAAAGTGTCTGTGCTACGTTTCCAGGTAAGACCCAGTACCTTCGTCACTTCATTCATTTTTAAATGTAATCCATTATCCTTTTCTTTTTTTTCCTTTCCTTCTAGTTTCTCAATTTCCTGAAGAAGTTCATTTTTATTACTGGTCCATTTTTGCATTTCAAACCCAGCTCCCTTTAATATGTCACTGATGTCCTTATATATTTTGACTCCATCCGCAACATTTTCACATCCCGTCATTAGATCGTCCATGTAGAAGTCATTTAGTATTTTTTGACAAGCATATTGCTTGGTACCATCCGTCACATCCCGAGCAGCCTGTTGCAATGACCTAACGGCCAGAAATGGGGCACACGCAGTACCAAATGTGACTCTTAGAAGACGGTAATCAACTAATTCCGAAGATGGATCATCCCGCCACAACAATCTTTGACTGTCAACGTCTGCTAAGTTCACTTGGCCTGCCGATACATTTTTATGATATCCGCTGCTAAACAGATAGGTGATAGTCTCCAACGCAGTATAATGTATCTTAAATCGGCTTGTAACGTTGGTCCCGTTAACAAATTATTATTGAGCGAAACTCCATACCTTCCTTTACAGGACGCGTCGAATACCACTCTTACTTTCGTAGTATCTTTATCGCTACGAACTACCGCGTGATGAGGTAAGTAGAGCGCCGTCTCTAGGTATTTTTGTGGGTCTGACACTCTCTCCATGTGTTGCAACTCCAAGTATTCGTTCATTACTTCCTTATATTTATTCTTTAGTTCCGTATTTCTGTTTAACTTTGCTTCTAATGAATTTAACCTTTTTTCAGCTATTTCCCTGTACGTGTCATGCTTGTAACTTGGATCCTTGGGTTTGAAAGGTAAGCGAACTACAAACCTGCCATCGACATCTCGGTAAGTAGTCTTACTATAATAATCCTCACACTGAATTTCCTCCTCTGTTAACAATGGTTTAGTGGGTTCTGTATCCGACTCCAGTTCCCAAGATCTTCTGAGTAACGCATCATCATCAATGCGTGAGTGGAACGTTACTATGTTTGACCTCGGTATTTTTGCATTGGTAATACCACCAGACAGCACCCAGCCCAAAGCCGTAAACTGGGCTACTGTTAATCCATTAGGACTCCTTCTTATTCCGTCCCGTAATACTTGGGTGTAAACTTCCGCTCCCAACAGAAGGTCTATTCTGTTAGGTATATTTTATCCTGGGTCTGCTAATTCTATTTCATCGAGTTCCAGCCATTCCATCGGTGGCATCTCCTTACTAGGTAAGAGTGCCGTGATAAGGTTTAGCACATAAGTCTTCACCAAAATCACGAAATCTGGATCAACTCTCGAACGAATCTCCAACGTAACCATTGCCCTGGAAACTGCCTTATTGTTTCCACCTATTCCCATAATATTACCCTTTATCGGAAACTTTTTTAAGGTTCAGATACTGCACCGTGGCTTCCGTTACGAAAGACGCTTGCGAACCTTGATCCAACAAAGCTCGCAATGTATAATTCCTGCCATTTTGTGCCTTAGCTTGCACTAAAGCAGTAGCCAACAAAACTTGCTCGTATGATCTACCGGTTGAGAAACACGTCATAACCTGACCTTGCACACTGGTCGCCCCGGACTGTCCGGTTTCTGAGCTACTTGGTTCCTGATTATTGGCATTAGTGTTCGCGGGCTTACTATTTACTGGATGTAATAAAGTGTGATGACGCTTTTTACATGTACGACATTGGATATAATTTTTACAGTACCTTGCCAAATGAGTACTACTAAAACAATTAAAACATAAATGATTGTCCCGGACAAAATCACGTCGTGATTCACTATCCTTACTTATAAATTTCTTACATGAACTTAGCTTATGGTCTTCAGAACAATAAGGGCACTTAAAATTAACAACATGTAACGTTTTAGGTCTAACTTGCTGTTTTGACACATTTGGTTTATTTGCCTCTAAAGCTTCTAAAGCTCGAGCCCTATCCGTTAAAAACTTTTTAAATTCCTCAAAGGTTGGCAAAACATCAGAAGAACTATTATTGCTACTAAAGAACTCCCATTGGCGTCTTGACTCTTGATCAAGTTTTAACGATAACATAAATATTAGCATCACATCCCAGTTAGATACATTTACACCTAAGTTACTTAAACCATTTAAACAATCACAAGTTGTGTCTATCAAACATTTTAAATATTGAGCCGATTCGCCAGTAGCATTGCGTAAATTAAATAGTCTTTGTAAAATATTTTTGGTGAGAAATTTCTTATTATCATAACGTGATTTAATTGTTTCCCAAGCTGTTTGGTAGTTTTCAGACGATATCGGAATTTGCCTAAGTAACTGTTCCGCTTCACCAGTTAAATAACCCTTAAGGTAGTACATTTTTTGTACGTTATCTAATGATTGACAGTTATGCACCAACGAAGTAAACAAATCTCGGAACGTAACCCACTCTAAGTAGTTTCCCGAAAATGTAGGTATAATAATTTTTGGTAATTTAACTTGTGACGAACTTGTTTTTCCTTCTGTATTCTCGCAACTACCTTCCGATTTGAAACTATGAAGCAAAGATAAAAATTCAGCCTTACAATCAATGAAACATTCTTCTGTACTGTCATATACATTTTTGACATAGTACTGACTACTCCTAAATTCTTTAGATTCCGATTCCCTAACAAGTGTTTCATGAGTCTTGTTAAATTGTTGCCATAATTCATCCAAATTAGTCAATCTAATTTGTACGTAAGACGGGGTTAGTCGCTCCTGAGGCGACTTCTTTAAATTCTTTCTAGCCTTAGAAATTATATCTGAAATATCGTCTTGGAATTGTAAAAGGCCTTCCATGTTAACAGAAAAGATTATAACTCGAATTTAAATCGGATATCAACAACGAAAATTTTTACAAGTTCAACAAAGTAAAATTTTCTAAGTCCCCTTAATTGAACTTAAAATTTTACAAGTCCCAATATGTTGCGAGTATACAATTATTCTAAGTCCACTGAGTAGATGTTAAAATTTTTACAAGTCTTTTTTATCACTTTAACTCTAGGTGAAATCCGGCATGGATTCCCCGTAACAACCAATATTACACTAAAAATTTTACAAGTCTAAATGTCATATAAATATTTTAAGTAAACACTACTCGAAATTTTAAAGTTATTTTTTACAAATATTTAGAGTTCAAATTGGCAAATCACTTACAATATTTCACTCCGTGTTTATAAAGTTTAAATTGGAACAGACTCACAATTTCACCGCACGATGTCCTTACACAGCCACGCGTCGCTGGCGCCGCTGACGTCACCGCTTCTCCTCCCTTACTCCTTGGCTCGTCCGCACCCCGCACTGCCCGTCACTCGCTGGCGAGTCTTGCACGGCACCCGTGGAGGGGGGCTATGCTCATCCCGATACAGCGATCCACTGCCAAGGGTACGAAGGGGGCAACAGGGTTCCCTCCCTGCTGATGATGCACCACTTCTTGCCGCAATCCCGTACGAAGGACCAATGTACACCACACGATGATGTACCTTTCGACTGCGCTGATTCGCGGCAAGGTTCCTTCCCTCTAGTGGGGAGAGTCCGAAGGACTGTTACTGATATTTGCTGTCACTATGGTAACCAAAGTAAATAACGTATCCAGTGGTACATACATTTATTTCAAAGTCTCAACGCTATGTCATTTCTAGTACAGCAACTCAATAGTGTGTGTTTTATTAGGTGAGCGGCATCTAGCGTGTAATGGCGGAACAACAATACTGTTTATTTTCTACGAATACATAATATTATACTCAACACGTACCACATTTATTTTAGTAGGACACCAATGACATTTGACGTTCAATTTACCTAAAGTAAAGTTACGTAAAAGTTACATTTAGTTTTAATATACGTAGTAGAGCTAAGCTGCAGTAGTTGTAGTGCGAATAAGTGGGCTCGAACGGGGAAGGACTATGCTCTCACAAAATACCATCGTGAAATAACAGCGTAACGTAGCTGTGATTCATATGGTGGGGTTAGATAACCGGAGACCCTTTTTATTGGAAACGAGGCTATCCACTTTAGTTGAGGGAGGTAACACATCTGATTTTTCATACTTAATTGAGGATAAATGAAGATGTCTACGGGTTACATCATCCACTTCCCATCAGGTGTACCGTGAGCTCGTTTATCATCCTTATTCTAAAGAAAGTCCTCCAGACCGAATTTTAATCGTACGCTTGGTAGTGGCTAGTCTCAATGGAGGTTAACCGCCTTCACAGAAGAGTCTCTATTCCGTCACTTTTATGTTCCGATGACATGGGAATCCGACAGGATCGGTAGGAGATCAGGCGGAGGACCAACGGCGTTACGTGTTTTACGAGACGCGGGAGTGTAATACTGCCAACTTCCTGATTCCATTACACATTATTATTAAAATTATTACCGAGTAGAGGCAGTGTGAAAATATACATGACGTACGTTACGTATGTTACGTACAGTTGATGGGCAGCTGCAAGTTTCCGTTGATAACTCATAATAGTAAAAAACAATGAGCTAGGGTAACGTTATTATGTATCTAGCATTATTTTTCAAAGTGTGGCGCGTAGAGAAGAATAGTTTACTCGTAAACAAAATCAAAATTGTAAGAGATGAGATATTTACTCTCAACATAAGTTATGAAGCAAATGAAATCTTCTGATAAATATATATTTTAATGAAGCTAAGAGCAATCTACTATATCATAATAATAAAATACAAATTTATTTTTACTGAAACAAACCTCTACTTAGTCCTCAGGGATGATAACAAATCTGAAATTTGATTCTTAACAATAAACTTACCGACCCGCGGCGCTACAATCTTTGCGAAATTTATCATTCGCTGTCAAATTCTACACTTAACATTTTATTACGCACATTTCCGCGGATCTTTTTTTGTGACACCAATTCTAGGTACTAAATTAGAATAATAATAAGCTAGTTTTTGTAATAAAGTCGTGTAGATTTAATAAAAATATTTAAAGTATTGCCTAGAATTAGAGATAGAAAAATTTGAGCACGTACCTTGACTTTTTGTCGGAGTATAAGTCACGCTTGAAACATAGTCTGCTGAATCTGAGTGAATATTGTGACCCATAAAAATAACTTACATAACCAATACACATAAAAAGATAAGTTTCGTTTAACTCATTCAATTAGTGTCAAATAACTCACTGACTCATCGAAACCCATCCCAAACCCTTGGACCTAAATGTCTAAAACTTTGCACAAAGGTTCCTCTATGATGTAGACAACGAATAGAGAACGATTTTTTAAAATTCTCACGGGATCAGGAATAAAGATAATTTATCTTTTTTATTTTAAATTTTTACATTTTCGTAATTATAGTTCATCATCATTATCATAATCATTACAGCCCTTAACCAGTCCATTGCTGAACATGGGCCTAATTATAGTTATTGGACTTTAAATTTGACACGTAAGTGGATACATATTCCATAGGGAGCAGCTGTAAATAGTGCCGTAATTTTCAATCATCATCTCAATCACAATCTCATTTTCAAAAATCAAAGTCCACTATGTTGTCACCTCGGAGGAGTAAAGTATCTCTAATATTAGAGAAGGTCTCCAATTTTGTGAGTCACCTCCTCAGCTGCGTTATGGTACTATTTCACACGGGTATTCTGAGAACATTTTTATTTATTTCAAGTTATAATCTAGTAGATGTAGTTGATAAATTAATAGATATTTTTTAGATTAATTGAGTAAATATGTCAAGTTTTTAAAATATATTATATATAAGTTATTTTATTTGGTGAAGAAATAGGTAAGAATCTATTTCTTCACCAAATAACAAAATTTACCCTCTGGGGTGGTAACTACCCAGGTGCACTCCTACGCAGAACAAGAGTATTAAAATCTAATAAATAGTTATTGAGTCTTAGTTTACGGAAATAGAAAAAAATGCTTTCGTTTTGAAATCCTGCTTAAGTTTAAATGCAACAAAAAGAAAAATTGAATTTAATCTGTTTCGAATCTTCAGTATTTTCTAAATTTCTATAATAACGTACTATTATTATATTCCCTGGGGAAAAACAAAAAGATGTAAATTTCTATAGGCGACAGAATCCACCAAGTATAAGTTGGACTGTGTGATCATTTGTCACCTTTATTTTATAAAAAATATACATTTTATATTGTAAACTTTTTTAAAAGATTATTCAAACATGTTTGTGAAATCTTTTTACAAGTATCTGTCTTTTATTAGCTAAATATAATAACGGTAAGTTAAATTCTTCTTCTGAAAATGTACATACATTAAGATATACATCTCATAAAGAAAAAAGTATTTACCGCAATCCCCAAGCTTGGCAGGTAAATTAACTTATTACTAGATTAAATATTTTGATGATTGACGTTTGCTCCAAATAAAAATATTATAATAAGATATATCCTATACCTTTAAACGAGCAATTCTTGTATATATATAATCGGAATCTCGGAAACGGCTCCAACGATTTCCATAAAATTTTGTGTGCAGGGAGTTTCGGGGGCAATAAATCGATCTAGCTAGGATTTATTTTTAGAAAATGTCTTTTTTGTCCGTGTTTTTAGGTAATGAAAAACTGCTACAATATCGTTAGAATATGAAGGTAAATTTTGACAGTTTATTAACGATTACAAATAGCTTAAGTGGTATATTGTGCGGTTACAAAATCGTAGCACCATGGTTCGAGTCCAGACCGACCCACCGACTTTTTTTAATTTTTTTTTTCAAGTTCCTTTCTTTTTTGAGAATATCTATTTTTTCGAGCCCTTTTTTTTAGTATTTTTTAAAACACGAAAATTTAAATTAAACTAATTGCACTCATGATTTTTTTTATTCAATTAACCAGTTCAGTTTTTTCTATTATGTCGCTAAGATCAAAAAATACTATTCGTATTTCATCATTATGTAATTTGTATCTAAATATAATTTCCAAAACACACGAATTAAAAAAACCGAGCGAAAAATACCGAGCAAAGCTCGGTCAACCGGGTACTTGTTTTATTAAAGTTGACAAAAATTAAAGTGACAACCAAGTAATATATGCAGAAATTTGATAGATATAGGCACCTTAGAATTGTTTTTTGTGGTATCCGTTGTGTAGGAGTAACATGATAATGATAATGACGGTGAAAAATGAAAGTTTTTACACTAATACTAAAAAAGAGCGAAGAATTTTACGTTGCTACAAGAATTTGTGAGGATCGGTGTCGTGTTGAAACTGAAACACCTTTATATTTTTAGTAAATCCTCGCATGAGAGAGATTTTTATCACAGATGATTTGCGGGGCGATATATAAAAATATCCAAATTTTAATGTAGAAGAGAGTCTCCTTAAATCGGATGATTAATTAAATTAAATCCGAAGCCAAGCATACCACTCCAAGACATCCATGAGATACGGTAAGGTCGCTGCTTCAAGTTTCAGAAACTTTGGAAATAAATATAAGTTTAAAGTATAAGCGAAAAAATAGCTCAAATTAATTTTGTAGAAAAAAGAAAATTATTAAAATATATTGGTAAAAGTCTTTCTAACCAAGTACTAAAAATAGAAGTTATCGAGTATATTTTAAGACCGCGAACTGTTACTTTTCAATGAAATCTTTTGTTAATACAACCGTCACTTTAGAGTAACAAACGTGCGTTTGTTTTACTTGTTTTAGTTCGTTAAGTAAAGTCGTTTTGTTTGTGAATAGGTCAAGTGTTTGTGGTCGGTAAATTGTTTTATAACTGTAAAATATTTGGCACACTCACGCTTTACATGATAGGGAAATATGACTTAGATGAGTGCTGTATTTTGGCGGTGAAAGTCTTAGCAC